TACTTTTTAAAAACGTGATATTATTAATCAAAAAAATAATTATTATTATTAATCTAAAAAAATGCTTTAAAATCTATAATAAATATTCTTCCTTTTTATCACACGGTAATAATCAGTTTTAACACGTAATCATTTTAAAAAAGGAATACATAATATGACACCGTTTATAATTGGTAATTAATTTTAAAAAAGAAACAAATAATATGACACTGACAATTGGTAATTAATCCATACTTTATTTAAAAAGACATGTAGTCAATATATGGTTTTCCCGCCCAAAGAGTATGACAATTATAAATGGCAATTGTGAAGTTAAAATGGTAAGCGGCTGAAATTATAGTAATAATTATTATAATTAGTATATTTATAATAATTAAATAAAGGTAAGTTAAAATTTCCAAAAGGTAAGTTAATAATTGCAGTGGCCGAAATTATAGTAATAATTATTATATTTATTATATTTATAATAGTTATAAAATGGCCGAAAGGTAAGTTAATAATTGTGAAGTTAAAATGGTAAGTAGCCGAAATTGTGAAGTTCTAATTATTAAAAAAGGTATAAATATAATAATTAACGTATTGAAAATTGTAAATAATTAAAAAATTTAAGTTAATAATTGTAGTGGCCGAAATTGTAGCAATAATTATTATAATATTATATTTATAATAATTATAAAATGGCCAAAGTGTAAGTTAATAATTATGAAGTTAAATGGTAAGTGGTCGAAATTGTAAAGTTATAATTATTAAAAAAAAGTATAAATATAATAATTAATGTATTGAAAATTTGAACTAATTAAAAAAGGTAAGTTAATAATTGTTGTGGCTTAAATTGTAGAAATAATTATTATAATTATTATATTTATAATAATTACAAAATGGCCGAAAGGTAAGTAAATAATTATGATGTTAAAATGGTAAGTGACTGAAAATGTGGATTTATAATTATTTAAAAAGTTATAAATCTAATAATAGCTATTATTTTTATAATACTCCGTAATTAACGTGAGTCATATAAAATGGTAAGCGTGATGTTAATATAATTATTATATATATATTAATTAACTTATTTAAAATTGGAAATAATTAAAAAGAGGTAAGTTATAAAATTGCAGAGCATAAGTTTTTAATAAATATGGAATCAATGAATTATATGCTAATAATTAACCAACGTTATTTTGACTACTGATTGGAAATGTGTGAAATTATGGTAGGAATAAGTAACTATCATTTTTAACCATCGGAAGTTAATATAATTATTTTTATAATAGTTAATGTGAGTAATATAAAATTGTAAGCCATCAGAAGTTAATATAATTATTATAGTTATAATAATTATCGTATTAAAAAAGGTAAGTTATACAAATCCAAAACGTAAGTTTTTAATATAGGTAATTTATAGAAATGCAAAGAGTAATTTTTTGAAAATTAGAAATAACTCAAAAAGGTAAGTTATACAATTATACACCCAATTTTGAAAAAAAATAATTATGGTAAGAATAATTATACACCCAATTTCGATAAAAGTTAACCCTTCTTAATATAATTATAATTATAATAGCCTATTACAATTAAATATACTATAATTATTCTCAGAAATTGTACAATAAAGTAGTCTATAAAAAAATCTTTTGAAATTTGTAAAACTATGATCTTTTTAACCTTACAATAATATAATCTCTATATTTTATTGTATCTCATTTTTATCATTGATAAATGATTTGAATTTAGTAACATAAAAATAACCCGTGCAACGCACGGGTGTGATACTAGTTTTATCAATACTCTATTGATATAATTATATATACAAAATTGAAATATAATTTGAAGGCTCCAAGATTCGAACCTTGGTGTACGGTAGGAGGGGTAAATTTCACAAATGGTACCTGAACTTTAGCTGGAATTTCGAAGTAGTACCTGAACTTCAAATCCTTTCACAAAAATCCCTGAACTTCCACAATCCTTTCACTAATGAGCCATTAGCCCGTTTCTAGGTTAACTTCCGGTCATTAGGGCCAAATTCGAATTTTATATATTTTAAAATTTTCAATTTGACCCCATTTCTTCTTTTCTTTTCTTCCACGCCCCGCCGCCGCCGCCCGCCGGTCAAAGTCGCCGGAAAATGAACTTTTTCCGATTCCGGCGGG